ACAGAGTTAACGTTTCGGGTCCGGTGACCCTTTTCTGAGGAAGTGACCCAGTTCTGAGGAAGGGTCACCCGACCCGAAATGTTAACTCTTTTTTTTTCCTTCGCAGATGCTGCCAGACCTGCTGAGCTTTTCCAGCAACTTTATTTTTGATCTCTTCTGAATAGTCTGGCTCTACTTCTTAGATCATTTCCCCAATTCTCAAATCTCAAACTGGTGGAAATAATTTACCTTTATTGACCCTGTCTTTTTCTGTTAATATCTTGAAGGTTTCAATTGGTATGGTGCCCAAGTTCTTTGATTTAGAAATCAAACAGTTGAAACTGTGAGATTTTATTACTACCGGTAATCAATTGTGTATAGAGATTTTTAAAATTTTAAGAGAATTTTTAAAAAATGTTCTTTCCTTTCCCTTTCTTGCTCCATTCTTTTTCTTCCTTCCTATTTCTGTGTCTAACTTTAATCCTGTTGTTATCACTATTGTTAGTCTGTATTTTTTGTTCTCAATTCTTAAATCTCATTGACTAATCAGAGAGACTGCTGTCCAAGGTGACCTAGCAAGCTTTTACTTTCATCAGTTTCCATAGCAAAAATCTTTAGACCTGAAAGGTGAGGAAAATCTTTGTCAGAAGGGCATGACCATATACACTGAAGCAACACATTCTGTGTTGATTTTGCTTTTAGCCATAATATTGAATAAAATGCAGCGATGAAAACTAATCTTTTCCTTTAAAAGCAGAATAAGTTAAAACAATTTTATTGTAGTTAAGGCCAACCTGTATCACAGACACAATCACAGAATTCATTGCAACAATCTTTGTTCCCACGGAAACTAACTTAGAAGAACAAATGGGGCGTAGAAAACATTATTATATGAATAGCAATAATAACAATAACAATAATGTAGAAAATGATGGAAATTAAAAAGTGATAAACTCTCAGAACCAGTTAGTTACCATCACAATATTTTAGAGTAAATACTTGGGTCCATTGCAGTTTTAACTATAATCAGTCAACATTTTTAAATTTGAGAATAATTCCTTCAAATTTAAAAAATATCCATGTCTATCCTGTTATAGGAAAGAGTAATCAGAATTATAGATGAGTAAGCCTGCTATCAAAAAGAAATTCAAAAATATTCTATTTTTTATACTAGTAGTAAAAGTCTTGTAAGAGAAGCAGTGGAATTGCTGGGACCAAAATGGATTTAAACATGGAGACAGGAAGTATGGACTGAGCTACCAAATTACTACATTGCACCTGTCTTTACAAGGCAAGATGTTGCTAGTTGGAATGTTTAGGTGGACTTCTCACTTAAAAATTAAAGCCACTTCTTTCAGTCGCAAATGCAGCAAACAATTCTACGTGCAAAAAATGATAATAGTTTTAAACTCTCTTTTGCAAACTCCAATTGATATTTGGTTAATTAATTTTAAATCCTTTTTTTCTGTTAAATGAAATTATTAGGGGATATGCAACTGTAAGGGAGGACTATGGAATTTAGTCACAGATCACTCAAAATCTCATTCATGGAAGAACGGATTAAATGGACTACTTTTGTTTCTATGTTTCTCTGTGAATGCTCCCTTTCCCTACCCCGACTTTTTGAATGCTGGTGATGGATGTTGAACTACTTCAAAAAATGAAGGCAAGCAATACTTATATTAGAGATAGTAGGAACTGCAGATGCTGGAGAATCCGAGACAACAAGGTGCAGGGCTGGATGAACACAGCTATATTAGTTCATTACACGTAGTGCGAATTTCTTAAGGTAAACTTCCTTTAGTTCGAGTTCCTGGACTCCACGCTGACTTTACATCCATCAAAATTGTGTTCTAGCTCAGCCAGAACTGATGATTGAAATCTTCCATTAAAATTTGAAATAACTCAGTGATACAACAATAGTATTGCTTAAAAAGTAGATAATAAAAACACACTTGTATGTTAGAGTGGTGCTTTTCTGATGCTGGAATCAAGGGCATTGTTAGAACAGAGTTTAAGGCATTTCATTTTGCACCTGGCTGTCTTGTGCGTGAACTTAGAGTTCTCCAAAAACAAGTATTCCATTCACAAAATTCACCAAAGCAACAGGTCACTTGAACCAGAGATAGATTCTAATACTTTTTCTCCTCATTTCTGACCCACAATTTTGTTTTGAAACACTCTGTAACCTGAGAAGTCATTAAACTCCAGGAGATGTGAGGATAGTAACTTAAATAGCTGTATAACAATAAAAAAGGAAGTATATGAAGAAGTGTGTCAATACTTTTGCTGAGTCTTTGTGAGTTAGATTTCCCTACACAAGCAATCCATCCCTTGTTTTCATGTGGGAAACATTCCATTTTTTCCACTTTTAGCTTTAATGTTTCATAATTATTAAAGTATGAATCCTT